TTGCTTCCCCCGGCCTATAATATTATAAGCGAGCTTGCTTTGCCTGCCTTTTTTGTACCTTAACCCCGCACTCTCGGGCTTCCATCTGCATCGGGGACAAAAAAAAGACCATGTCGATAGAGGCCCTGTCCGGTAGCCACTAACTAAATGAGACCAGAAACCTACCTAGTCCTAGATGATGCAAGTATGTGTTTAGAGAAAATTGACCTTGTTTGGAAATTACATGCATCAGCGGCCTCCAACGGCTTGTGCGCCGCGAGCAAGCCGGTTATAAGAGGGAAACGGCCAACGGAAGCGACGGACGGCGAGGTTCAAGCTCGAGACTCATTACAAATGGTTCAACTGTCAATCGCTCCGTCGCAAGGTGTTGCACGGCCCCGTTGACAACGCCCCTCGGCCCATGGCAAGTTTCCAGCGGGCATCTCGTCCTGTCTGGCGCACGCCATGAAACCGAAGAAAACCAGAAGGTAATAAAGAAGCTTTCATCTCCACAAGTCGCATCTCCTCCTCGCGCATACGACATTCCGTGTCCTTGCTTTGCGCGGCGTGGGCGGGTCGGAATAGGGAAACGAGGCTTGCCGTCTTCTTTGTTCGGGGGGCGGCGCCAGCTGCGGTGGGTGTCACACGACGACTTATTTTTTAAAGGCAGCTCCGAAGCCCTGGCCCGTCAATATTTCCGCTGTGGCAAACAGATTCCCTCCCAGCCTTGTTGGCCAAAGCAACATGGCGGACAAGGTTCAGCAGCAAGCCACAGTAAGCCCGCAGGATTGGGGTTGTTCTCTTCCCTGTCGGACACGTTTTCATCGGCCAGGCTTGCCCTGCCCTAGTTTGGGCTAACTAGAGGAGAAGGAAGTGGTTTATTAATCCGCGTGAGGCCATTTGCTCATTTGGTAGTCGAATAACATGGGGAAGCACCATTTGGGATATAGAGGTGTAAAGGCATCGAGAGCGCAGGGTAATAGAGATGATAATGGGCGGGAATCTGAAAGCTCTTGAAAAGGGCACCTTGGAGGAGAAGACCACAGCGGACCCATGCCTGTTGATGGGCGGTATGTCGTGTCGTGTCAAGTATTGAACTCATGCAGCAGAATGCGCCGACATCTGTAAGCGGCAGCGCCCGCAGCGGCAGACAGGACGACGCTCGGAGGCAGGCGCAGCAGGGCAGGGTTCCGGAACATCTCAACAAACCACGTGGCGATCTTGCGCCAGCTGCGATTTTCGGCCGAAGCAGGCAGCTCCGAACCACGGCGGGTTGGGAGCAGAACTGTGCCAGGGAGTCACCACACGAGAGAGGTCCCGTCATTCGTTCATTTCTCGACCCATTGTATGTACTACATACGATCTGCATCGTTTTGTCACCCGTATTACTACGTTGGCGTGGTCTTGGACGCGTACTCCCCTCATCACCAGTGGCGGCGGCGTCCCCCCTCCTCAAGAAGCTGGATTCCCGGAAGTCGGAAAAGACATTGTTGGGTTGATGGAGGGAGGGATGTTCAGCTGTCGTGTAACCAAGAAAGCCTGCAACCCAACTCCCCGGCACTTGCGGTGCTGGAGGCTGGGCGGCGGAAGGGAGAGACACGACGTACACACAGACCATGAACGCCATGAGCGCCACGACAACGAGAGTTCTCGCCTCGAAGGTGCCACGGTCGAAAGAGACAACAAGCTTTCAATGCATTGGGGAGAGATGGTCCCATTGAGCCCTGTATCATGGACCGACCGCGTGGAAGGACAGCCCGAGCAGATGGAGAGCAGCCATTGCCAACTCTGCGTACAGCCGATATTCTCGAGGAAAACGATTCGACATCAAGCACTTGTTAGGGCAAATTTCTTGTAATAGTGCTTGCGGAGAGCCGCTCATCTGGCAACAACCAGTTAGCAACATTGCTGGGCCAAATCTTGCTTGGCCTTTCGAACAACACAAAAAGAGGAGTCGCATCTTGAGTTTTGCATATGCATTTATCCGAGTATGTCAGCCTACAGGGGTAAAGAGGGGAAGGGGGGCGTGCACAGATTGGAGTGGGTCCACGTCAAGAAGCCAAAGAAAAAGATGAGAGGATACCAAAATTATGGACGCTCAAGAAAGTCAATTTTCTTAAAGAGCCAATTAGACTAAATCTCTGCTTTCCCCAGTGACCACCCAGCTAGCTTCTCTCTTCTCTCGCAACATGCTCTAGGGCGGCTCTTGCTGGGCGCTGATCTGTTATGCCATTGTGGTATGTGGGATGATGATAATGTATTGTGGAGGTTGTGTGGGCTCTAGAGAGGTCTCATGTACCCTACATGATCCTTATGCCCGTGCAGAGCAGCGCAGCCAGTCGCAGCCCCACATTACTGACGGCATATGCCACGTGGGTTTCCCTAATAAGCCAAACGCCCTCTCAGCGCAGCACTCCGTCTGGACAAGTTCTGCACGAATACCAATGCCATACCAGTATCAGAACAGGCAGGCTCGTCACGAAAAAGCGGGTGCGCACTTTGCCAAAGGGGGCTTGTGACTATTGATAGAAATAGCACCATCGCTTGTGCCAGTTAATGCCGGAGGCGCAAAAGCTTGGCTCTGGATGGAGACCGTGGACGATGCGGCAGCCACGTTGAATGCAAACAAGGCTAACGAAACGAGAAAACAGCAAAAAAATGACAGAAAAGATGACAAGAGGGAAACAGGGCACAATTCTGTTCCGCTTCGTGTTATGGGATGAGTCTGACCTTGGAGGTAATGTGGTGCCGCCATTTGATTGCTCTGCCGCATAAACTGCATCGGAGCTCAGGGCATCTGTCGGGAACGCGCGATGCCGTGGTCAGCTCGTGAGGGGGGTCCGAAAGGATGATCCCGTCGCACGGTGCTTCTCGATACACCCTCCACGCATGCCGCCAGCTCTGCACCGGGCCAATTCGTCGTGGCACAAACAAGGCAGCAGAGTCCAAGTATGACACGCGCGCAAACAGAACAACTTGCCACATGGCCGGTGGACTTTTGTACTCGGGTCCATTCACTGGCTGCACGCGTGAAGACGGGTCCGGGTTTCACAATGCAAGGAGACGGTCAAGGAAAACACGATTCTGGAGCCTTGCCCTTCTGGTGACGCTGCGACGAGTTCCATCCGCATCACGAGAGCGTCTCTGAAACGCGGCATGTATAACGCGCCGTCGAATTGATTGATAAGAGGTATTCGCCATTGCCGTTTGTTCAGGACTTTGCCGTCTCCACAGCCACATGGGCCAAACTGCCGAAAGGCAGAGAGCTGAGCCAGATTCCGACTGAAGGGCAGGCACCTCGGCGACCCAAGAGTCTGGGTGAGCATCACCCGCCGCCTATCGGCAGTGGCTCGAAGATAAAGCACGATGATGCAGGCGGGAGGGTTACATCAAGATGATGGGCTGTGGCGGCCGAGCAGCATGACAGTCCCAACCCGGGTCAGCCCATGGAGGCAAAGAGAAAAAACGTACGAGGGCGTATCATCGGACAAGAGGTACAAGGCAAAGACAATGTGCCGCGGGCCCTTTTTCGATGCTCGCGCGGTTCTGTTCCGGTGCACAATGGGGGCAAAAAAAAAAAATCACAGATGGGCATGATCACAACGGCCAGCGTCTGTGCCCGGACCAAGAACCGCCTGCTCGTGTCGCGGTATATTCACCGCCTGTTGCCCTCGAGAGGGGTGAATTACTTGTTCCCTTTTGGTCACGGATTCGTCGGCAGAGGGGCAACGAGTCCGGAAAGCTGAACCGGGCTGCTGGCACGGTCACCCCCCGCGAGCCGGGACCTGCCCGTTGCACAAAAAAAAAAGGGTTCACCAGCCGCCTGCCACGCGGCGAGTCATAACTATGCCCTTCCATTGCCATGTGGCCTTGCATTGACGGTTTCGGCCCCCCGATGACGCTCAAGCCCGCTGTCTCACCCATGTCTTCCTTTGCCCTTCTTTGCCCCCCGCCGCCTCTTGTCTGTTTGATTCGTTCATGTACGAAATGGTCATTATAAAAAGATTTGGCCCGAGCTTTTACGGCTAATAATCAAGAAGCAAAAAAGAACGGGCGAAAAGGGGAGGACTGTTGTTAGTTAGTCTTGTCCAGCGCCCAACTATACACGGCATTGATCGTCCGGAATGTGGTGGGCGGGCTGAAAGTCGGAATGGCGCAAGTGCATAGCAGCAATGTGGGTTAATAGTTACTTGTGCCACTTGCGAACTAGACACGCTACAAAACCAACCAGCTACGCCAAGGATATTCACACCCATTTGGCGGCAGCTCGTCACGACACGGCGGCTTCATCGAGCCGTCATCTGTTTTCGGCAGCGCGGCCCAGGCTTCGCGCCAAGAAAGCCGAAGGACGACTGTGATAATCGAACGACTTAATGTTCTAGAACCAAAGCGCTCGACTCGCTGCTGCAGTCAACATGCAGTCAAGACCAATGGTTCTCCAAGTTATAGCCTGGCTCGAGTGCCGCCACGCTGCTGCTGGTTGCTAACTAGAACCAAGTTTCCAACACGCCCCCTAACCTAATAAACCAATGATCCATACTGGCGCCGCCTCTCGCTACTGAGTTTGCCCACTAATGAGGCGGCGTGCTCGGCCAGCCACCCCAGGCGGCTGCTGTTTGTTTTTAGAGTTCAAGACAATGAACCGTCGAGGTAAAACCCAAGGATGTTCGACAAGGCCTGAACAAGCGATCGTCCTCGGCTGAAAATAGGCGACGGCGATAGTTGGGTGTGCTCTCCCCTTTACGGAAAGCCGTTCGGCATGTCAAAACGCAGAATCGTGCAGCGCAATAGTTAAAGCAGCACAACCTTGTAGCCGAGGGGGCGGCGATTTTCGGTGGATGCTGGTTAGGTTTCTTGGCTTCTAGAAGCACGGGAGTTTCTTTCGATGGCCTGTAACTATTGATGCCGATGGTATCTTGGCCCATCAAGGTATGCGGGGAGTGGCATGAGGGAGAGACATTTTTATGCGCAGTGAGCCCACCAAAGAGCCCACCAAAGAGCCCACCGAAAACGTTGTGATATTATTTGGTTCTTGGAGATGTCGCACCGCCAGCGCCACTTGAGCGCCTTTGGCACGGTGTGTGCGTCGTCGTCAGGTGTATTCTGTCAGGGAGCCGAAGCGAAAAGAAACAAGGGGATAATGATATAATAATACTAGTTACAAATGAGACTGACCCCCACGCGGCACTGGTCGTACATGATGCCGGCGAAGCTCGTACATACATAACTACATACATACATACATGGTCGACGCCCACCGTGGCGGCGGAGCAAAAATAGTTGCTCTGAATTAGGACGTTTGAGTCGATGCGGAATGCTTCCAGTTGGCAGTGGGGGGTTTTAGCCGACAAATAGACACGGAATATATTAATAGGACGGAATAAGACTCTGGACAAGTTGCGCTGCAAGGCTGCTGTTGTGACACTATAACAGAAACACACAGCCCTATCTCGCGCTCTCTGGTGGAAACCGGACGAGAGGGCTATAGTACAGTACATAGTTACGTCATTTTCTTCATCTGTCGGATGGCGAAATTTGAGAGGGCCTTTTCAGAATCGGCATGAGTCAACACGGGCAAACCTCGAGGACCACCCACCACCTTACCTTTCTCGACCCATGAACACCTGCTATGTACCTGGTACTTTGCCATGTGCAAGCCACCTAGCCCGAGAACATTCTCTCCTTTATCATTTGCTCATTGTCCTTGTTCAATCTACAGTTCCCACGCGACCGGGCGACTAGTCGATGGAGGGGGTAAAAAAAAAGTACAATCTCACACCCCCTCCCCCTCTTCTTCGCATTCTGGTTAGTTTGACTAGTTCATAACACCAGTATGCACAGGGCGTTCTAAAAAAGGATCATCACGCTCGCTGTGGAGGAAATTGAGGAGCACAAGTGGTTAAAAAAGGAAAATAAGGGAGAAATTAGAGCCCTTAGCTTGTCACCAATGGGGCGTTATTTCCGCATAGCTTGTTTCTTTTGCTCCTTTTTCTTTTCTGCTTTGATGCATATTCTAGGATAGTGGCGGAGGACTCGTTTCTGCTTTGATGCATATTTTGGGATAGTGCCGAAAGACTGTGCACCTGGCATCATCACCGACCTCGTCCAAACCACCTTGAGACGAAATGAAAAAGGTGTCAAGTCCTACAGCGAGCACCACAAACCAATGATTTACTCATGTCCGACAGTGCACGCCTTCTCGTAATTTCTGCAGAAATCGTCTGTTGCCCATGTGGCGTGCCGGCCGGGCTCGACTCTCAGCCCAACCGCAAACGCAACCAGTCCCCATCACCATCCAAATCTCGACCCTCCAAGGACCACTTCATTTTATTGTGAGCTACGCCGACTACTCCGTAGAGATTCCAGTTCATCCAGGGAACGAGAACCCATTTCACGATGACTGCCGAGACCGCTACTGGTGCAACTCTACGGCGCGCTGCCCTTGCTGCCGCTTCTCGCTTCCGCCCTTCCTCTCCCTCGTCAATGTGCAGTCATATCATCGGTGCTGTATACTCGGCCAACCTCTGTGCTTTTCTGACAGACATTCGTGTTCATCACCATCTAGGTAAGAAAAAACATGAGACAAGACCGTTATTAGCGGCGGCGCCACCGGCTTGGCAATGAGCCAAATCTCTCAACCTTGCCTTTTATATATGACATTAAACAGCTTCTTCGTACTCTTTCGTGGGGAAAGAGCTTTGGCAACGAACCCCCCACCCCTGCCGGGGCAGTGTTCTCTTTTTTTTTTTAATCTATACATGAGGCCAATATAAAACCCGTCTTGATCATCTGATGCGCCGCCCCCCCGCCGGCCAGACAGACAGCCACGTTTCCGAATGATGCGCCATTGACCAAGACGGAAACAAATGAGGAAGCAAAAGTGCATGTTTCGCGCCCCTCCCCTCGTCTTCAGTCGGGTTGCAAGTTGCGGTGAAGTGCGCTTCGGGAAGTTGTTTCGCCCATCTCTTCTCACCATCTCTCCTATACCTGCAACAACTCCACCACGTTTCCCTCTGACGGACGGCATTTGACTCGAGACAAGTCGATAATCAACTCGAAGCGCTCTAGTATCCATAGTCGTAAGAGAATTGGACGGCCCGCTCGCCAGCCCGGAGATAAACCCAACCCCTGTGTCTTTCTGCAGCACCGTTGAGGGACCGTTGAGGGACCGTTGAGGGAAAAAAAGAACGGTTGATGAAGATGGCCTCGATAGTTAGTATCCTTCTTCCCCACGCCTGAGCCGACTATGACGTTGGCCTAGTCGACACGAGGCCCGGATCCTTGTTCGTGCAGCAGCTCCCACGCACGCCCTGCAGGGCCGCACATGGCTACGGGGTGGAGGCGACACGGCCGTTGCTTTTCTTCACCTGCTCCGTACATGCAGTGGGATGGTGCAGTTTTTGTCATGTGTCAATATGCAGTTGAAACGAATGCAAAAAAAACGCCACGCCTGTTGAAGATGTTGCCAAGGTACGGTGTAGTTGAGCCGCTTTCCTCTTTTTCTTCTTCTCCATTTATGACTGTACACAATTCATGAACCAATCAAGCAACTCCTCGGGCATTTGTGCAAGTCTCTGCCTATCGCGGCTACACGCCCACCAACTACGTGATAGATAGTACAGCAGAAAAGGCCAACGGTTTCGCCATTTATACCTCACCGCTCCTATGATACTCCACCGCGGTTAACAGAGGAGTTGCTTTGTGAGATTTTCGGGTTCGCCGCTCTCTATTCTGTTATAATCGACAATCGATATCACGTTTTTAGGGGCTAATTAGCTTCCTGTACATGGTTAGTCAACTATGTAGTTGTCCTGGTGCGTCAAGGCCTTGTAACTAGACGCTGACCGCATCGACCGAGCATCGACCTGCAGACTGCAGACTGCAGATGGCCATGCATGCAAGGACCATATTGCCAAGGTCAAGAACCGAGGACGGCAAACTGGATAAATGACATGTGTACCGAGTATGCTATTTTGAGTAAACCCGGCCGCCAGCAATCCTGTCGCATTATGCATCCACGCCGGGGGTCGCATCCAACCGTCATGCAGAAAGTATGACACGTGTATGCCAAGATGAAAGTTGGAAATAGGTGCGAACCCCTTTTTCAACTACAACTCAATTGACCTGGTTCCTAGTTTTCCAATTGACGCATCTTCAATGTCATCACAACCGCCCGTCGTCGTGCCTCTCCACCAGCCACCCAAGCTGCCAATTTAGGCCATCGAACCGGATCTCATTGGGCTGATGCATCTGCAGCCTTGACTCCATTCCGAGATCATGACCGTCCTAGAAATTTCACATGCCAACGCGACTTTGATTGCGTGCAATAGAAGCAACATGCGAAGCAACGGATGAGTTGGCGTATCCTTGATACAGTTCAAATTGTAGTTACCAGACAAAGTCGCCCGGCAATATTGCCATATCCCATACCCAGTGCCTGCTTAGGGTACTGCACGCCCCTACTAAGAAGGACGGATCATAGACCTTAGAGGATAGCGAAGACGCTTTCGAGATGTCATCATCCTTACCCAATTAGCACGGCCAATAGCGCACACGCCCTATGCGACTTGCGAAGGTGAAGCTACAAAAGATCCCAAACATGGAGGACATGTGTCAACTAGCGTCATAGCGAGTTGCAAAACTGTCTTCACTATTCATCGGCATATGAGATTTAACTTGATTAATTTACTTTTTTTTCTTTCATGCCAGGTTACACGGCAGTAGTCTACAAAGACAGTAAACTCTGTTCCGTCGTCTCCCCCACTTCAGACAACCAACTTAAATTATAAATACCGATCGTGGGGTCGCTGTATCTCATCGATCGAATTATTTGTTCAGTCAACAACCGCAAGCAATTGAACGCCCGCAACGCGGTCTAGCCCAAAACTCTGCTATACTTCTCCGCACAAACCAGTGGGTGTGAGAGAAGAAAAGGTAATCTCGCAGTTTGCTTCTTTCCAAGCAGAGATGAACCTTGGCTTTTGGGGGTTTTTTTGAGTTTTTTTTCGTAGCACGAGCCCTTTTCATCTACACCCCCGCACAAGTCAATATCTGAACAGGGGGCAGGCAAAGCGCCACAGGCCTTCTAGGATGCTTCAGCCTCGCCAGTAAATTTCGTACTGGTAAGTTAGTTACCCTGTCACCGAAAAGGGGGAGCAATGGTGGTGACCTTCTCTCTGTTTGGCGGCGCAATTGACCAAGACAAGACACGGCGCTCCCGGGAGCATGGCCTGCTATTCTGTCAAAATGCGACCGGCAAACGTGGCGTGTGTGCCTGGCAAGGAGATCCGTGCCACTTACGGATACTTGTTCGGATCTTTTGCCAAAGTGTTTACTCAATGTCCGATGTCCGAAGTCAGACAAGCCAAGCAGGGTCTCACAAATCATGCCCGGTTGGCGGTTGGGGTCTTAAAAAACGGGTGAAACTGGCGACACCCGGGCGTGGCAATCACTGATGGATAGTTTTGCATTATAGTTATTACAGGACATCAATGTTGAAGCAATGCAATTAGCCATTTCAAACATGCGCCTGGAATACAACTTATTATTTAAAATACCAAGTGTTGAATAGGACGCTGCGCTACTGGCACTTAACCGCTTTACTCGAGGCCAGATTGCTTCTTCTGCATCGTTATGCTGACTCTTTCTCTCCTCACTCTCTCTGCCCGTTGGTCTCCCTCTTCAACGGCAACACCGACCCAATAAGCACAACATGTACTAAACACAATGCTTCCTGTCGACTTCTTTCAGACATGTCAGAAATCGTGCTTGACTCCATAGTTACATACCAACCATAAGAGCCTGTTCAGCTCTTTCCTTGACTCAGCATCCGTCTCCATCCACAAGTGAGACAAAGCATAGCGCCTTCTCCGAAAAGACGACTGTAAATCTGAGGCGCCCCCGGAGAAGCGCCCCCTTTTGGCTGGTTGCATCGGGGACACACGAGGCTCGTGCTTCCTGTTATGCTTCTGGCACGAAGGAAAAACGGCCGTGGCCAGCGAATAACAGGTCGCCGGATGATGACTACCTTTCGGATAACTAGAAGAAGTGGCAAGGGTTGGGTGGCATGTTGTGGTCATGGCGGCTCTGTTTTTCTTCCCTTTCCCTTCCTCAGCCTTGGGGAAGATCTGCCGAGCATCTTACTCCCCCCTTTTCCTTTGATTAACCTAGATTGAGTCTTCGGGGCCGACCGACATGAAAGGGGTCGGGCGTCTAGCTGCAAGCCACAGTCAGTAATGTTGCCTTTTTTCCCTCTCTGGAACAGCGCTCTGGCATGGTTCGTGCGCTGGTTGGGTTGTATGGAGTGTCAATACTTCGTATTTGCTCTGGTTTGCTATTTTCCTAACGTCTTGTTTGTCCGATCTGTAATTGCTCTGCCGAGCCGCACTTGTCACGCTGAGGCAGTTATCTGAGATGTTCACGCCCGTGCGGCGACTGACATGTCGTCGTCGCCTTTTACCCACTGCACCCCTCCTCGAGTATTGTAATACTGCTTATTAGACTGCCTGTTGAAGAGTGTCACAATGCCAATCACCAGCCAGTCCACGCCCCTACACAGAAGTGGTAACTTGGCTTTAGATCGTAGGCTGCCGAGTCACCGAAAGCTGAAACAAGGTATAGAGAAGGACATGAACGGCGGCATGAACGGCATCCATGAATACATGAAACGCAGTGACAGCCAAATGGACAAAATATACAATGCCTCTAACATGGGATTCTATGTCATATAATATACAATTCATACACAAATGCCGTTTGTGTGATGCATATGGCAAATCAATGTGCTTTGAATAGCAAAATGCCTCCGCCGTCTAGACCCGGCTCACTTGCCGCATCTAGATTTCGCGACACCATTTTGACATGACAGCACTGAGCTTGACTCCAGCTGGAATCTCTTCCAGTGACATGTCTACCTTCCACATGCGTCCATCCAGCCCTCCACTGCCCAACGTTCTTCCACCCCCAATACCGGATGGAACGAGCAGGCCCAAGCCGACTAGTCGCTCCCAAGAAGTACTCGCGACGCCGCGACTCCAGACACGGACATTGCCTCCAACAGCGAGAAGACCAGAGGCCGCAGACTGCACGCGCTGTTTACCTACAATCGAGCTGTATTCGTCGTACGCCATGGCAAAATTGACTGTATCAGTATGCGCCACGATATCGAGCCTAGCTGCTGCGATGAGTAGACTCAAGTCGAGCTCTGACAAGCTCTCCAGGAGCTGCATTCGGGAGTCAGGTGGTGCCAACGACGTCAACTCCGACTCGACTGCAGGCACGCGCAGAGTCAAGTCCTTGGGCGACAAATACGACAGCGGTAAGATCCACTCGGAGAAGAATGCCGACGCTGACTTCGTAGTGTAGTAATGATATTTCAACAGGTCCTGAAATTGGCGGTGCTGATAGAGCTCCTGCATGAATAGCATTAGCCGACGCTCAACTCAACAAGAGAGTCAGTCACCTACCTGGATTTTGTTGTTCCAGTATTTCTGAAAGTCGGAATAGCCCTCCAGACTAACATGGAGACCCTCCTTGCCTCCATCGGCTTCGCCGAGCATTAATCCCTGTCTGCAAACTTGCCAGTACGCCGGCAGCGTCTTGGCGAGAGAGAGGTACACATATCTGTGACTGAATCGACTCTTGACACGTTTCTCTAGCATTTCGACCACGTCCATGCGCGTCGTGCAACCAAGCACGGCAATTGGAGCTTTTCGAGACTGCGCAATATCAAATAGATTATATAGCAGTGTCTGGCGAGGATGAGTGGCGAACATGTCAAATTCATCAATAACAAACACCACAGCCTGCGACGTGACACCGTCATCTTGACCCAAAATTTCGGATGGATGAGAGAGGAGGGCAAGCAATGACGCCATCGTATCCGCGTAATTTGACTAAAAGAATTAGAGAAATCGCGTGTAATATAATGGGAGTGCTTACTCTGTTGAGAAGGTCATCTTCGACCTGCATTCCCTTGCCTAGTTGACGCCAGATTTCTCTTAAAGCAAGTTTGTCGTCTGTGTGAATAAACCCATTCAGGCGAACAACGTGGAAATCTTGTCGATATTCTTGCGACAGATCTGATATCGTATTTTCGACAAGCTACAGTATGTTAGAATGAAGGATCCTGGGCGATTGGTGCAACATACAGTAGTCTTGCCGCTTCCCCTTGGCCCAATGAGCAACATGGAATTGCCTTCTCCTGCCAGCACCGTCTGCTCTATGAGCTGCCGAACTTTGTCGCTAGCTTCGTCATGACCAAACATGCGTATTCGACGGCGGCCTGTACAGCGATCAAGCAGCACGCGCTGCATGGCGCTGAGATGCCGATCTAGGTTGGGAATCTCGGGAATCTCGACAGTCAAGGGAGCTGCTGCAAGAGTAGACTTAGGGTCGGCTTTGGGAGTTTTCAATACATCATCTTGTGTGCACGATTTGCACAGCCAATCGCCCTCGGGAATTTCTGGTACCCCGTAGCACTCTTGGTGTGCTGCGAAATCGCAGTTATCGCATAGTATAATTTCGTTGGGTGGGATTGAATGCGGTTTCGCGCAAACGGCACACACAATTTCGTCAATAGCTTCACCGATAGGTTCATCAATCGGTTTACCAATGGGTTCATCAAGTTTCCTCGGTCGTCCTGGTTTCCTGGCGCTGGCGCTTCGCGGGATGTGGTCGAACAAGCCGTTGCCGTCAAACGTGACGCTTTTGCTAGACCGAGGGCCTCTCTTCTTAGTAGGAGTGAGAATGCTCTTGGGCGCATTGGAGGCGACAGGCGAAAACAGTCGGTTCTTCGTTGGCGTGTCGAACAGTGCAGGCAGGGGGGCATCGTCGCCAGCCGCTGGTATGGGCTCGGTACCATTTGTGGCAGCTTGGGGCACGTCCGTGCTGTTTTCGAGGCTTCGGGTAGGAGTCGGCACAGGTTCAGGAGCTGGAACTGGAGCTGGAGCTGGGACTGCCTTCTTCCTACTTCTTGGTTTCGCCGGGGTTTTTCTTGGAGGTGGAGGCTTGCTAGCAGCGGCTATCGGTCGAGGCGCCACAAAGTTCTCGCCCGGGTCCCATCGTGTTCCTTTCAGCGCCTTCAACTTTATCGCAGGAAGTGAGTTGGGTATTCGTATCTCTATTCGGGCGGGAGGGACGGCCGTGACACGGGTTTGTGTCGACATTGGAGCTACCGGAGCAATGTTGACCGGTGCTGGTGCAGCTGCGTCGGGTGGCAGTGGCTTCGGGTCCGCAAATATATTCTGCTTTTTATCATCAGCACCCCCGCGGCTGTATCCAAGGGCTGAGATGGCCGCAGCAATATTGCCGAGCCGATTCCCGGGGCTTTGGTCATCTAGGATCGCGCCGTCGAATTTGCGGCGCTTCAGCTCGAGGTCAGCATTGGGCGGCGACAGCGTGTCAGTTTCGTCTCTCGATCGTTTGTTCCCATTTGAGGCAGTTGTTTCCTGAGCCATGGTTTCGGACGTGGCTCTTTATGGTAGCAATTGTCGCTGTGCAGCCATCGTGCAGTGCATCTGTTTGAGGAAGGGAGGTGGAAGACGCGATGGGACGCGGTTGCTTTGGTGACACTCTACGCGCTCTGTGGGGCACAGGGAACTTGGTTGTACAGCAATGTCGGGGGTCAATGACAAGGCGGGAACAGTTGCAATAATTTTATCAGTAAAAGTAGACGGATATTTTTTCTGCTCAATTCACCAATTGCTAATTGGTCGGACGTTCACAGTTCGTATAGTTAGTCTGTGTGCTACTCACGCTGACACACATCATCACCAACCCCACTTACAAAGCTCGCCTCTCGCAGCCTTCAGTCTTTCACTTCAACATCATCCACCCCATCATCTTCATGTCGGGCCAAAACGAGGGATTGTCATTCTATCATGCCCCCGAAAGCTCGGGCTTTCGGCTGATTGAGCTCCCCGCCGAACTAGAGACGCTGCTCGAGGGTCCCAGCCCGCCAGTGTACGTTACCACAAACGCAAACCATGACAAAGTGCGGCTCGAGCTAATACGAATATCACAGGCTCTACTTGGAGCCTGGTCCCGATGACATGGCTACTCTCCGCAGCCCGGAGCACACCTACAAAATCAGACAGAAGAATACCTCCAATGGCCTGTACCTCATCAAACCCTACACGCGTGATGCGGCGTCTCCTCAGCAAGGCGTAGCCGCCATTGCAACTATCAGAGAGACAGTCGAACTTGATCGTGTAAACAAATTGATAACAGGGGATCGTAACCCGGTCACACAGGGTCGTGGAAAATGGCATGAGAAATTTGGTCGCAGCCGATAGCTCACAGAGCCAACTATCATTCTCTTCAACATATCTGTCACGTCTCAATACTTATTATAGTCTCACATGGCGTTTCGACTCGGACAAATATATGCCTTTTCGACACCCTTATTCAAGAGCTTCTATACAGGTGATCGTGATTCTTGTCACTTCTATGCCCGCATTGACACCTGGTCTACACCTATGGACAGCGCATATGTCAGTGTCTGGTGGCCTAAAGGCTCACACTAGACTCTGGCGGTATTTCCACCACCGCCTACCTACTCCTAGATTAATACAAGAAAAACAGCCCTGGAATAAATTTATCAATGCACTTTGAAAGGTCTGCGTCCAGTTAGCCATTGTGCTCCAACACGAGATCACCTTCCTCTGCTGCTTCATTTTCGTCAACAACAGGAAAAAAGTGTGACGTGCTCTGCTGGCCGCCGTCGCCTTCTTCGCCATCTTCCTCCTCGTATCCCTCTGGCAAGAATCCGCCTGCCATATCCTCATCCCCGTTCGATATCGGTGCGTGCGATGCGTCCGGTGCGCCAGCAGGGGCCGTCTTGGTACCATGCCCAAAGACGGAGGTTTTGTCGTCAATCTCGCCGTATTCGAGGCGAATTCTTTGCACAATCCGCATTCCCATGATAAACTTTCGCCATTGCGCCAAGGCAGCCTTCCGCCGTTTCTCGTCCTCCTTGCGCAGTCGCTCGGCTTCATCCTGTTGAAGTTGCTCCATTACTATGTCGTGGTTTTCCTCGGCAATGACAACGCCTTGGATGACTGGTACTGCCATGCGGTTTCCAAATTCGAAACCCACAACAGCTTCAGCATAGTCGACCCCCAGTTTCTTGCATACCCGCACAGTTCCTTTAAAGGGCACGTGAACAGCACCTCTCGGGCACATGTGCTCGGCAAATAGGTCAATGTTCCTGGCATTATGGTCAGCAGAAGCACACTATTACTGGGGGGAAACTGCCCAAGTTGCTTACCCGTATTCATTTTTGGGGATAACACCGTCCTTGATGGGGTCTGGTATGATCCAATCGGTCTGATCATAACTGTATAGACCCTGTAGGACTTTTTGCCCAGTGGCTGCTTCTACCTCTAGAAGCTCACGTCTGCGATTCGTGGTTGCCGCTCGATACGGTACTCGCTTCAGAGGCTCTTCTCCGTCTAAAGGGGCTCTTCCCTGCTTGTGCCAGGTTTCTGCGCTCTTGACGTTCAAGACGTCAGACCTGAGATATACATCCTCTTCCCCAATGTTTCCCTTGCCCTTGTTTTGGAACTTTTTGACTGCTTTTGCGCCGATCCGTAGGGCCTCTTCTCGCTTCAAATGTCTCTCGAGTGCAAACTCTTTAGACTGCTTGTAGTATTGTAGGGTCTCTTCCCCTTCTAAGACAGGTTTCTTCTCGGGTTTGGCTGCTTGCAAATCCGTAGTCTCCTCCGTTTCATCGATATCAGTGATGGGCCGTTTCTTGTCGCCACGTCTGTACCCCGACATGGCTGACTTGAACCAATCGTGATGTTTATGTTTATGGATTTTTCCATGCTTGTTGTAGATGGGTATTTTCTCAATGGGATATCGTGCGCCTTTGGTGCGTCCTGGAAATACCCGTTGTTTCAAATACCGTACGGTGACATCTTTCGCTGTGCCATCAGAAGAGTAAGCAACCACATACGCTATGATCTGCCGCGCGTTGTCGGCTTTTGCGCCTCGAGGCTCAAGAGACTCCACGAGCTCGCGATTGGTAGCAACTATCCCTTTCACTATTGGTTCGATGGACAGAAAATTTCCCGTTACTGGAGACAATACTTCAGTCCAATAGTTCGCATATGGAAGATCTGCGTCAATGTGTGAATGTGGCTGTTTCTTCGACTTGACAGGTGTCACCTGCATATCCACCACCGACTCGTCATCTGAGTCCGTATACTCGACCTCCAATTGCGCGTCGTTGACACCCTGTTTTCGGGCTGGCTTCACAGGCTTGTTCTGCTTGGGCAATTCCCTGCTGCGCTGTTTCGTCTTGGCCTGTTTCTTTGGTGTAAGATCTGCTGCGCGGGCTCGCAAGTCGCTATCCGGCTGCTCGGCTGCGGCATCTTCCATTTTGGTCCATGAGTAGCCAAGACACTGCAGGTTCGTAACCAGACGGCTTTCTAACCCGAGTGCCCTGAGGAGTGCCGTAAAGAGATATGCGCCAACGTCACGGCTACCTTGGCAGCGAGCAGCACACTGTCGGAGGTCGTCAATGTTCTCTAAACGTTCACCGAATTTGGGCGAGTGTTTCTCTTCACTGGCATATGCCTTTGTCAGCCTATCAAGGCGTTCCAACGCCATGTATCCCCATTTTCGCAAACCTGGTGTGGTGGTACGGTATCGTTGCTTCCACCAAGCTAATATAGTCTGACCTAGTCTGAATAAAGGGTCTCCGTTGCTCAGGTCAGGAACCCCTTCCTCCAGCCTTTCGGCATCAGCGGCCCAATCCCTGGCTTTGGTATCAGAGCGTCTTTTGCGTTTTCCGTTGGATTTGACGGGGGATTTGCCGGGTTTGGGCCGCACAAGCCCGCTTTTCTCTTTCCATCTGTCGACCTCGTCCCACATCCTTGGTGGAAGATGCGAGAGCATGATGGCCTGTAACTCGGGGTCGCAAAGCCAAGAATTCCGGACAGCGTTGTGCCAAAGGAGGCACAGAACATGAAGGCGATGAGTAGCGTTGCGGACCAATCTCTCCCTCTTGGTTGGCCCCCTCTTTTCTCCGAAGGGATTCGTCAATGAAACCCGATCGTCTCGAACAAGAGTCAGTTCTAGGTCCTGTGTGACATTTGGCAAGTCATCTGTAGGCATTTCAGGTGCCACGACATCCTCAAACTCGGCATCGTCATCAGATTCATCGTTACCAGCCCCCTGGTCATTGACAGACACGCGTTTCGCAACAGGCACGTCTTCAAAATCATCATCAGAAAGCGATGAAAGAGAACTGATATCGCTATCCGAACTGTTTGTGAAGAATGCAGATGTTGCTTGTGCCGAGTTAGATGCTGTCGATGCATCCAGGTCGTCGTAGAGGGTAGGTTTTCGCTTGTTCTGCGGCTTTACGTCAGGCGACGCGCTGCGCAAGCGTTTGCGTGGGATATGTGGTGGCATGTCTATGCCATGAGTAGAGGATGCGGTTTGTTGAAACCATTCTGGAAAGAGAATGCCATGGTATATTGGTGAAACGTGAAGAAATAGGATTGATTCGCCCTACTGAAACAGCGCAAATCGGTGCCAGCGCACGTGACGTCATTCACGCGGTTGACAGTATCAGCATTCAACCTCAGAGATAGATAAGTCCAATTTATCTAAGAAAATCACATAATAGACGAAGTTGAAACCAGGTAGCTCTTTATTCTGAAGTCAGGTGGTGTGCCCTGTCCTGCTGCGTGCTTCGAGGAGTGACAACACTTACTTATTCACGGGTTACTACGGGCGCTGGTCTCCTGCGCGCGACATTGAGAACAACTAAACTTAGCTCTTACTGTTTCGAAAGCAACCACTTCTCTTCTATATAGTTTCACTTGCGGGAGAATTACCTGTAACTTACAATTTTTTTCAGAGCCTTTAATTGAGTTGTACTTTTTCTGGTAGACAAGAATGTGTCAAAAGTTACATGTCTCGCCAGATCCCGAATAGCAGGGCTACATTTGATCGTAACTATTCGGAAGTTCCGACTATAGTCTTCCCACTACGATCTCATAAAAAAACTATAGAGATATAAAAAACCATAAGTACTGTCCCGCAGAGAATCATCCGCTTTACGGAAGCAAGGCTGTACCGTTGGCGAGGACCCGTGCTTCGGGTCACGCTGATCGTGAATATTGATGCTAAAATATAAGGCTGAATTCACATCAAGTGCATGTGCGGATACTCATTTTCGTGCTATAATCAATTGGCCTTCGCTAGCATGTAGCCTTAATTCTGTCTCCTGCTTACTCCTCATGCACAGTCAAAGGGAGAAGGGTATGTACGCATATAACTAAGTGCTCAATTCCACTTCACATCAACAATTAAAAAATTGTCCTCCATTACCCGAAATCATGGTATCTACACCTTACGTCGGCAGTGGCCCTTACTGCTACGCCAATTCCTTCGCCATGGTGCTCGGCGCCAAGGCGCCTTCTACCGCCGTCATTGAGTTTGCAACCTCGTCTGCCTTTGGCATGGAGATTATCAACGTTCCCAAAAATCCCCTCATTTTCTTCGATCCATATGGCTGGGATCCTCTCAAGAGCTTCGATGATGCCTTGGAGGCAATGGGCTGGCGCTGCACCGAAATAATTGGCAAGGATGCACAGGACGCCCTCATTTCCCTCCAGGCGGCCGTAAAGAAGGGCCCTGTGTTTGTAGGCCCTGTCGAGATGGGTCTTTTGAAGCATCAGCCGAATGCCCGCGGCGCTATCGGTGCGGACCATTACGTCGTGATACTTGGCATTGACAACAATACCGTCGAGATGCACGACCCGCATGGTTTTCCGTATGCTACTCTGCCGCTGCAGGAGTTCATGGCAGCCTGGAAGACCGAATCGCTTGGGTATGGCAAATCGTACACTATGAGGGTCGATTTTAAACAGGTCGAGGTCTTGAGTGAGGAGGAAGTTATCCGGCGGTCTATACCCAACGCTCTCAAGCACATCAGCCTTCACGCTGCTGGCGTCGATGAGATGCCGCCAGGATCGGCAGCGAATGAAGCCGCAACAAAGTGGTTGTGCGACAGAATTGAAGTTGGGTTGTCACCCGGGATGCGTGCCCATCTGGTCTACTTTGCGGTGCAAGTTGGAGCGCGACGGAGCATTGATGCTGCGACCTGTCTGTTGCGTGTGGGCTATGATGCATGCGCCGCGGTCATGGATCAGATTGCGCGTACTATTGGAGCTCTCCAATACCCTTTGACGCAAAAGCGCGATGAAGACGCAATCACTATCTTGCAGAAGCTTGGTCCAATGTATGAGGAACTGCGGCGCGCTCTAGAGTCGGAAGTGCAGAGCAAAGTGGCAAATTAGCAGCCTGGTTCCTGTATCACAAAGCATTCTCCGTAGCCATATTGAAGAATGATCACATATCCATTTACAGCTCAAGAAACGCCTCGCTATGCAATGCGCTAGACTTCGATCAGATCCGGGGCCGGCCCAACCCCCCTCAACAGCACGACTGTATTTCCACTTTGCAACGACGCCCCAACCTTTTCGTTAAATTCCAATACCCTTCCGCCTTCCACATGGAACACACGTAATTTGTCTCGCTCATCCGAGCTCTGGTTGTTGATGTTTTGAACCTGCAACTGTTTCGCCGCAGAATCCAAGACCCTGCCGACCACCCAGTCTTTCGAAAAGTAAAATGAACCCTTTGGAAATTTTGCTTTCGCAGTCTCAGCCTCGGCCTCCACATACAAATAGACGCGCTTTTCGGCAGGAAGTTTGTCATCGCCCTTGGCAGACTTCTTCAAGTTGTTGACAGCGACCAGTCTGGCTGAGGCGGAACTCGGCTTTGGCTTCGGAAGAGCCCTACCTGCTTGCTCCTTCTTCGTGCTTCCCCATGCCTTCAGCCTTTCAAGGGCAGATTTTGCTTTTTTGGTGACATCGTCCACTTGCACAAGCCGCGAGCCCAGTGGTGTCAAGTTCTTGCAGTCGTGGTCCTCCCCGAGACGATGCTTGAGGCAGTAATCGCGTTTGCAAGTCTGACAGTGTACACCTGGAGTCAAGGATGTCCCGACCATCGTTTTGCAGTCGGAAGACGCGCATGGCTTCTCGTGGGTCTTATCTCGCAGCGTTTTGCCGCTCGCGCCGCCTATCGATGGTCTGTTGAGTTGGGCTTGTCGCCGGCGTGCGGCCCAAGCACCCTCGTTTGGGCATTTATGCGCCGTCTCTGTGCGGTGATCAAGACAAAAGGTCTTGCTGCATGACTGGCAGTAGAATGGGAGGAAATCGAGTTGGTTGCAGTATTCATACTGGCAGTGCTTGCCAACTAACGTGGCGTCTGTTCTGTCTCTCATGATGTAGCTTTCTTCGTGGGGATCAGGGCTAGGGGATGCCATCTTGTCGAAATATAAGCCTTGTCAGTCTTAAATAAGTAGAACCCCTTGTTTGCCACACTCGCCGATGAGAGTGGCCGTTGCGCGTCTAGGCAGAAGTCGTTGCGAGTTGTGCTGACAACTCTTGGCGAATGCTCTAGAAGCGCCCGCCAGTCAGTGTGGCGATGCGCTGCGCTGCGGAGTGGAACAACGCCGCGCCAAGCTACAGTATGTACACTCGCTCGTCGCATTACGTGATGAGGAGTAGTGACATTACTAGTATCCCCTTGAATAGAGCATCATGGTACTCAAAAAAGGTATTATCCTACAAAATTGACCCCGGCCCGGCTTCAACATGCCAGAGAACTCCCATGAGCTGTTCCCCAAATCCTCATGAAAGTCCCAGTCATTGACACAGGACCATGCCCGATCAGGCGCTGTGGTAGCAAACAGGTACAGAGTGTAAAAATGAACCAACTAGGTAGAGAGCTGTATGCGTTTACTACAGTGTGGTTTAATATATTGATGGAAGAGTTGAGCGCTAAAATCCTAAAAACAAAAGATAAATAAAAACCGGTACGCCTCCCGGGTATGGCCGAAGAGCTTATTCTTTCTTGACCTTTCCAAGCTCAGCTTCTCTTCCTGTTACAGGCGCATTACCTACTGCCTGTCTGCCCCCGACAGCTTCGAAACCTTTGTGAAAGACATATTCGACAGCATGCTCTACAGGCTCATCAAACATGGCCGGTAAAAATGGAACGACAGCCAGACCCAGCCCAATAGGCGTCCAGGTGCGCAGTGTCACGTTCTTGACATTCTTCAGCGCCCGCCCAGAGTAACGGACAACACTGTGGATGGTGAAGGCTGGCAGCCCCATACTGGCGAGGGCTTGGAAGATGCCTCGCTGCACCATGACTGTCCTGTAGTCCTCAAGCGGCGGTATCACACCTGCCGCCAGCTGCTTGGTTTCCGTTGCGGGAAGCCCGGTAATCTTTTGCTGGTGAGCGGTAAGCTCTAACTGAGGGTTGAGAATTCTCTGATTGTGGATGTATGCGCGGTAACCCTCGTGGCTGACATCGCCGATGAGGTATAGCCACGAGATCCCGTACGCGGCACGCACCACCTTGGGGTGAGCTACGGGCCGGAATGATTCGCCAATATCGGAGGTGTAGGCTACATATCGATGCGCAGAGAGCATAATCGTTCGCAGACGAGTTGCGTAGGCTGCATATCGGAGGTTGGTCTCCGTAGAATCCGGGCCACTAGGTACAGGGTTAGCGATCGGCTCTTTGTGGAGTGATGTAAGTGGGAAATACGGACTTTCCATCCTTGACATCGTCGAAGAAGCTGCTATTGTCTGCATTGGCCCTGTCGACGATCTTTTGCAGCTTGGCGGGCAGCTTCTCTCTGGGTGGTAGCTTGTCAACCTCGGTGCTGGAGCTGGCGCTGGAGTTGGCGCTGGAGTTGGCGCTGGACGGCTGCGCGTCTTTGGGCGCTTCCGATTTCCCCCACCAAGGCATTTTTGGAAGAATTATCAAACAATATAAAGCCCAAGAAATGAGTAATAGACCAGACAGAGATTCCTTGATGAATTCCTCGAGATGATGCAACCATTAAGCTTTCGGAATGCCGGGCCCAGCAGCAACGCTTGAAGGTCGGGGCGCCGAAGAATAGCCGTGTTACGGGCCTGTGTTTCCAGGTGTACGGATTTACTCCCGAATTTCTGACCTCTCCACCAGCAACTTCAGCCTGCAGCATCATTCAATTGATTCGCGACGTACTATATTCCCATCAATTCGTCTTCCGAAACTATATCCAACATGGTCGCCACGTACACCATTGCTGGCCGTCAAGTTGGCAGCCACTACGTATGACCACCCCCTCTCCGGAAGCAATTGCGCTTCAAGCACCTGGCTCCTGCGACAGCGACATGAATACTAACGGAGCGTCATAGCTCGCCATGGGCTGGCTCGCCACCTTCGCCGGCGGTATCTACTACGTCGCATCTGGCCCCAAGACACCTGCTGCTAGCATCGCTGCGCCCCCAATCAACGCTGCCAGCTCCGACGAGGCCGACTTCATCAAGTGCGACATTTCCCCCGCCACGACTCCGACAATCGATATCCCTATACTAACACCCCTCATAGGAAGTTCATTGAACAGGCGGAGAAGAAGAACTAATTGCATTCCGGACGAACTAGGCGGGACATTGTACGACGCGATGTATATATATAGCTGGCACTCCCAGTTACGCTCGATGTAACCATCGAGCGAGACAGCATTTCGGCGCTTCAATTTATGCGCGGATTTTCTTCCTCAAATCTTTGCAAATGTGATGTCGTGCTTCTGTTCTTTTATTTGCAAACATTCGGTTAACGCCATATCGAGCAACGCTGGTTTGATCAATATCGGTTCAATGTACGATAAGTTCGAAATCGAGAGGCAAAGCTCGCACTTGCTTAACGGATGTTTCGATGCTGTTAGCTTACGGAATGACCACGTCGCTGCCGAATTGTGGCTATTGTTTGGTATAGCTGGGAGGTAGTCGGCCTGATTTGTAGTTGCTTTGTAGGGGCCTGGAGTGCTAAGGCTGTACGGGGAGTTCTGGGTCACTTGAACCGTGCCGCAAAGAGTACTGTATACTCTATTGTACATGTCTACATGCGGGGGTTGACATTTCTTTATTTACGAGTACGAGACCATCGGTACCCTCAATAATATAATCTAGCCTCCGCGAATTTGATTTTGTGATGTATTCGCGGTATCGGAATATTGTGAAGACATAAAGTTAAGCGCAAGTTGGGCATGGTGCATGCGGCGGCTAATAAGGGGGATACACGAATGTCACATCACGGCTCTTCACCCAACGAGCAGTTTCTTTCTACAAAATGATTTCTACATCTCTTGCAACGGAGGTATGTCATAGTTAGCAATGCATATCACGTCTGTTGACTTATACCTAGGTAAGGAATATGCACTTCGTTTAGGCCATATGCTGGCGCCCCTGTTAGCGCAAACGCCCGCAGTGCAATTCCGCGGTAACCCTGCACCGGGAAATTTTGCACTTAGCAAGCACAAGCGGCAAAACGGTTCGGCCAAGATCACGTGCAGCCACCCAAAGTCGCCGTTTTGACAGAGTCATCACTGGCTTAGTCGAAAATCTCCCGCGATGCCGCTCATCGGATACAACGATTGCAATAAAAGCAGCTCCCCAAACCCACCTTGGCATAACTGCAGTTGGACGATGTCAGACGACAACACTGACCCGGCGCTGCTCCCCGACCCATCCCACGACCTCTCGTTATCATTAACGCCAGGGTCCAAGGAACGCCATTCGCTGACGCTCGATCAGCGTCGCGCTCTGCGACGATGGGCTAGCAGCCAGGTCATGCGCCCTTCCCACCGGGCGTGCATCGACTGGTTCTTTTCCCAGTACGGGCAAATGATCAGCCAGTCGACCGTGTCGCATTCGCTCTCGCCAAAGTACTCGAGGCTCGACGGAGAACACCCGCAGCTGTCCGGGTCACGGCTGCGCTTTGGCAACTGGCCCGACGTGGAAAAGCTGGTGCTGCTGTGGTACCAGCAGGTGCAGGCGTCGGGGCGCCAGCCGACAAACGACGAGCTGGGCGAAAAGGCAAAGGCCATCTTCAGCCAGCTACCCCGCTATCGCGAGGAGTCCGCGCCCGAGTTCTCGCCCGGCTGGATCCACCGCTTCAAGAAGCGGTACGGTCTCCTCATCCGCCGGCAACGACGACATACTGACGGCACCATGAACCCTGCCGAGGACATCGACTACTTGTCGGACTGCGTGCCACGCTTCATGGCAATTGCGCCAGACACGAGCCCGGCCGCGATCCGGGAACAGATCCTCCGCGTCGTCGGCGTTGAAGCATCCCTCAGCACATGCGCCCTCGTGCGCGACGAAATCATCCGCCGCATCCCCATCGAGCAGCCCCCGCCCGACATGCCCATGTCGCCGCCCGACCCCGATCTGGAGCCCCCACCGCCCGAGCAGCACATGTATGCGGACGATGACCCCGAAGTCGTGTTGCAGAATGCACTCCGCCAACTGCAAGAAGAGGAGCAGGCGGCGGAGGAGCAGGCTGCTGCTGTCCGAGAAGAACGCGACAGAGTCGAGCGCGAAGGTCTGCAACCCCAGCCTATGGTTACGGATAGGCCGCCTCCAGACCACAGATACGAGACGCCTTCACATGAGATACCTCCAGAGTTGACATTGACTCCTATTCACGCCGGTGATCCAATGACCTCTGACGAAAGGCCTCTACGATGTCCATTCTGTATCAATCAGCGCATGCTCAGAAGCATCAAAGAGGCTGTTGAGCACATGTCAACACATGTTGTGGTATAAATTCGGGCTTCTTTCTTTGTGAGATAGGCATACTATACCTTTTGCGTCCCTCTTGTATGCTTTGGCGGAGGATCATGTATTTTATGATGATGATGATAGATTAAGACAACAATACTAGCTGCCGTTAACGCTATTCACAGAGGATTCAATGACGATGGTACAATGACGAGGCTATCAATTAAAATGATATAAAGCAGCGCTTTTGATGCGCTCGTCTATATTAATGCAGCGTTTCGTAACCTCGTGATTATCGGATCTTCTGCCTCTTTCTCGATGGAAGCTGAACCAATGTAGTTCTTCCAAAACTTGAGTCCTTCCAGGCCTTCTTCTCTACATAGCGCGCCGTGTTCCTCAGCCATGAGCAACTCTTCCTCCGCGACACCGAGACTCCAGCCGAAACGTTCCGCCGCTTCTTGCGCCGTCACACCAAGGCCAAACATGCGCCAGTCCCAAAGCACGTCGCGCTCCGGTGGGAACTCGTGTAGGTCCTGGAGCCATGACAGCAGCGCCTTGACAGTGGTCTCGTCTGTGCGGTCCCGTCCTTGAACTACCATGACACCGCTTCTAAATGTGCGGAGGCGAACTGGTAGCTTCAAGCTCTCCCAGAGGCGGGCGGCCTTCTCAAAGTCGAGCGGGCTGACGAGCTCCACGCCTCCACGTGCCCTGTTGAACATGGCCCAAAGATCGACCAGTGTCAAGATGCCACCGGCCTTTTTCAGCACACTTCGAGTATCATCCGTGAGAAACTCGGCCAGATTGCGCGCCAGCTCGGAGAGATAAAGGGATTCTGAGCCACCACCACCTCCTACCATGTCCTTTGTCGTCACAAGACCAAGTTGACTTGCCGATTCAGCGAGGATAGCATTTTCTTCCGCCGAGAAGCTGCCATTACCAGAACCTTTCTGCAATGAAAATCGCTCTGCAAGAGCTATAACTTCTTTTGCGGACGCCATGAGCGCTTCAAGGTCTTCGAAGGCACTGCCAATGAGCAGCTCATTATTCTTGTGCCTGCTCAGGCCGAGTTGCTCCAACCCGGCGATACCGGCGGTCTTTGCTCTGCGTTCGCTATAATCTGCATCGGCTTCCGTGCCAGAGACACTACCATCTCGCGGGCGTCCCTTTGGTGGGGGAGGGGCGTTTTGTAGCAGCCACTTCCGCTGCGTCATGGATCCTTTGAATCGTTCGTAGAAGATCTTTTCCCCACCACCGCGAAAGGATATCTTGACTCCTTCGACGGCCTCCAAGTTGATAGGTCCACTTGCACTATTTCTATCAAGCATAGGTCCGGGGGATTCGGTTCTGTCGCTGTCCGGCGCAGGGGCGGAAGCGAGAACAGGACCTGACTTGGATGCAAGTGACGCACCACACATCTCGCAGGACATCAGCGATGGATGATTGAAAAACGTACATCTTGGGCACTGAAGAGGTTCTTTGGACCTGCGGCCAATGCTCTGGCCAAAGCTTTCAGAGGTGGGAGAGTTTGTATTTGTTGCTTGTTCAGGCGCTGGTGGCGGAGCTTGTGGCGGTGCAGCGGATCGCTTGGACGCATTTGAAATGGCAGCTTTCAGTACATGCTGCAAGGTTGGCTTGATACCGCAAGCTAAGCATGGAGGCAGTGGTGTATGCGCATTTGCTGTTGTGGCATCAAAGTTGGTAGGCACGGGGTTAGAAAAGCTGCATATCTTGCAAACCCAGGTTGCGGCTGTGACATTCTGCGTCTCGCTGGGTGGCCGATAGCCGGGTTCACTACTCGGCGTCGGCGTCGAATGCCTCGAAATTGGCGCGGCAGTTGAAGAACGATGACTCTGCAACCCAGTCCTGCGAAGCGGCTTGGGAATCAGCGTAATTTTGGCCGACGACTTGAGGAACCCCGCATAGAAGTCGTGTCTATCCACATCCTTCAGTTCCAGGGCCGCAGAGTTCAGGCGTGGCTCATTTTTATCGACGTAACATATTCGATGCGTAGTCAAGTAGACTTGCCCATTTTGTTGGTTTGGCAATTTAAACTTGCTTCTGAACGTCAGCCTCGGTAAGGAACATGCGGCGACAAATGGCGCTTACCCCTCATATAGTCCAACATTATCTTGCACAAATAGCAGCACCTCATCCGGTAGATAGGAGGGCCTCAGCGCTGTAGTCAAATCGATGTGTTTTAAAAACATCCGTCATATCATCTCGCCGTGGCTGAAGACGTCAGTGTCCGGACAAGCGTGGGCCAAGATCGCCACCCGAATTTATTAAGCGAGGTCAGGTACGCCAAACTTCTACTTTGGTCCTGGACGAAACAAAATATTGGATCGGAATTCAGTAGCAGCTCACACAAGACTTTGAAGGAACGAATTTGATCGGCTGCTGATTTCAAGCAATGCTAACGTTGTCAGGTCGAACTGTCGCGGTGTTGGGGCATGTCCAAGAGCATCGATGTGTTACCCGTAGTTTTGCCGGTGGAGTCACGGGACACATTTGGAAGGCACACCGACATGATTTCCACTGCTCCTAACAAATTCGGGGCTTTTCCTCCCCAAAACTACTCGTGCAATATCGTCGCGACACTGCATTTGCCCTTCAATAATCTGCGCGAATACAGTATCAGCCCTCCACCGTGAACTAACTTTGAATCCAGCTATCGCGCCCAAAATGGTGTCGGGTTGGCCTGCCACCCAAACAGCGCACGGCGCCCAGTCTGCAGCTGCAGCCTATACCTACACACCGAGTATGTACCTCCGATCTGTGCCACTTCGGCGGAACCAGCAACTAACATGGCGATAGATCCTGCCTTCATACCTGTTCAGGTTCGACAAGGCTTCGCACAATATATTCAGCCTCCTCCTCCCGGATACCAAGCGGAGCCGCCCGCTGCACCGCCCGCAATGTCACCACCCGCCACCGCGGTTCCCGGGACTCAACCCAAGGCGAAGACTGAATGGCCGGATTCCGTTAGAAGATATGTCCAGCGATCTTTTCTTCCCCAAAACGATGATGCCTCCGTGACCCGCTCCGAACTAGAGGCCAAGTTGAAGAATACGATCGGAACAGCCAAGGATAATGGCTCATTGCACACACTTGACTGGGACAAAATGCCACTGCCGCAAGTGCTCGTGAAAGCCGACCGCGCCGCAAAACTAGGGAATCCACTTTACAGTGTCGAAAATACGAGGAAGCGAAAGTCGACTGAGTTCGCAAGCGAAGCGGTTGCGAAAGCCCCATGGAATACTACTAAGGATCGTAATTCACTGGAGGCTCGGACGTCGTATGCGCATGACAAGAAGGGAGACATGGACAATAGCGCAAAGTCCAGTAAGTTCCAAAAGGACGCGAGCAAGCGCAAGCGGCGGTTCGAGAGCGAGTACAAGGCCGCGAATATAACACCGACAGAGAGCACGCTGTCGTCGGGGCCCATCGTGGGCACCAGCGAAGTGCTTGAGAAACGATATCTACGCCTGACTGCTCCTCCCATTCCCTCCAATGTTCGTCCGGAACCAATTTTGCGGCAAACATTGGACTTGCTGAAGAAGAAGTGGAGGAAAGAGGGCAACTACTCTTATGTGTGCGACCAGTTCAAATCGATGCGCCAAGATTTGACTGTACAACGCATAAAAAACGACTTTACAGTTTCGGTCTACGAAATCCACGCCAGAATCGCGCTTGAAAAGGGGGATATCGGTGAGTATAATCAATGTCAGACCCAGCTTCGTTCGTTGTACGAGCTAGGCCTGAAAGGAAATAGCGTGGAGTTCAAAGCGTACCGTATTTTATATTTCATTCATACAGCCAACCGGACTGGATTGAACGACACCTTGGCAGATCTAACAGCAGCAGAGAAGGAGGAACCGCCCGTCAAGCACGCCTTGAGTGTGCGATCGGCATTGGCGTTGGGAAATTATCACAAATTCTTTCAGCTATACCTGGACACACCCAATATGGGAGCATATCTTATGGATATGTTTGTGGCCAGAGAGCGTTTAGCAGCACTTTGTAACATGTGCAGATCGTGAGTTGCGACCCAGAGCAGTACATGAAGATGAATGCTTACAAAGACACAGGTACAAACCAGACGTCAAGCTCCGATTCATCACTGAAGAGCTTGGCTTCGAATCGGACGCGGATGCAGCCCAGTTCATTATTGACCAGCAAGGCCAAGACTTGCTCGAAGATCGTTCCGACAATATCATGTTCTTGACTGGCAAAGCGGGCAACCTCTTTGAGGCTTCCCGCGCTACAGCCTTCAAAAGCGTCGATATCAAGGGTCAGATCTGAACGTGACCCCCTAAGTTTTTTCATATCTTTTGCGAGCCTTCATTCACCTTTCCACCATCCCACCTACCCCCGATCCCATGGAACGACGAGTCGCTGGACATTGTTCAGTGACGAGCAACTTTCTTTTCTTGGCACATATATTTGTTGACGACATGATCTCTGTTTCGCTCATGTAGAGGCAATAACTTTCCATTTGCCAGCGGGCGAAATCGAAATTCCCATTTCATCTTACTACACCTAAGCGAGCGACTATGGCTCAGCATTTAGCCGGCTAGCCAGGCTGGTTTCACGTGGAGCTTGAAGTGTCGGGACAACTGACGATGCGATGGGCTATACAAAAGCAGCATGAGACACTCATCGCCGGTTGGGGCGTTTTGTTGCTTGCCTTGACGGCGAGCGGATTGTTTTACAATTTTATCTATTCCCCAGGAAATCGCAAGTCGCAGCCAGAACAGGCTTTTGACGGCTTTTTTTCTTCAGCAGTTGTTGGATAGAAGCATCGAGCATCTATTCGCAGTTTACATTTGATAGCTTGTCAAGAGGTTTCCTCGCCCACTTTTGTGCCACGATGCTTCGCATTGTGAATGCATGCCGTATGTGGAAATTGTTTGCACAACTATGCTTGGGTTTGAATCATGAAGCCTGCAGGTTCATGCGCGTAGCGGGAAAAGACGTGCAGACGTTTCAGCATGGACTGGGAGCCAATGGCTGGGCGCTGTGCACAGCCCCGCCAGTGTCGAGGTCAAAGGCAGGGTAGGGTCTTGGACCTGGTGGCAACATTCACGCTTTTGGTGACAAGTATGTACGTGGGGGCTTGGAGGATGAGAAGAGGAATAATAGCATCCATTCCATGCGTCTTCCATTGGGGCTTCCTTGGTGCGGTGCGACGGCGCAGGAACACAAGACACGGACGGCTGGAAGCAAACAACCGAACAATGGGCCGACCCAGCAAGCCACCTAACGAGAGCCGCTTATGGGATTGAATCCTGATCTGATTGGTGAATAGATCGTATCGTTTTGATGACATCCAGACGTGGTGCGGCCCAAACGGCGTTGGTGCGAGGGCATGACAGCATGCAGTTGGCTGTCGAGCTGCAGGCGGGAATGAGGCTGCAGGTACGGCTGCGGCCAGGCCAGTGGCGCGCGGGCGACGAGAAAAGGACAGGTGCCGTGTGCGTGATGTGTAATTTACGTAGCGAGCTGAGGGGTATAACAATGCGAGCACATCAGCAAATTAAACAAGTTGTACATAGTTAATGCGCCGGAAGTGCTCAAAACATGGCAGTGAACAATGGCTCGGCCGAAGAATGGGGCCGCGTTCCAGTGGCGGTTGCTGGGCCGGTTTCAACGGCCACGGGACCCCGTGCTTTCCCGCCTGTTTGAATGGATTGCTTTTTATTCATCTTCTTTCATTGCCCCGCGATCGGCATAAAACCAGTGACAAATTCCCGAGGGGGAAAGGAGGGGGAAAGAGAGAAAAGGAAGTTTCACCAGCTGCTGAGTGCGAGGGACGCACATGGCGTAGGTACCAGGTACCTACTAAGGCATAGGTAGGTATGGGTGTGCATGGCGGTGGCGCTATAAGCGAAAACGGTGGAACTCATGGCGTCGTCAGCACCATTGTCCAGGCGTCATAGCTTGATGAAGATACGGCGCGTGGTCGGTCTATATGAGACGAGCTTCTTCATGCATACAAGAGGCAATGGAAATGTACGTTGGGGAGGCGAGAGAGAAGTTGTGAAATGGGGGTGTATACGAGCGATGAACGGTGGCTAGGCCTCTGGTAGAGTGGTGAAGTTCGCCAGCAAGTATCTGCCGAGTAGCTATTAGACGCCAGTCAATTTATGATCCTATGCAGATGGGTTTCCAGTAGATGGAAAATGGGTACGAATTATCGTACCTAATAATACTAGGTAGGTACCTATTCAGTTATCAAGCTTGTTCCGACCCGATCTGTGTCTACAGCACCTAATTCGTACAGCACCTCCAGAAGCCCAAGCAAGCCAGGGGACCGCACAGACGCCGATAATAGGGTGATGGCGTCAAGGTACTTTGAGGAGGGGGTACAAGCATTTGAGTATGCACTGGGGGGCCTCTGACGCTGTGGTAACAATAGTTTCTTTTTTGTGTTTTTGCAACCTTGTTTTTTCATGGACAATGTGTGGACAAGGATGGCTTCCAGGTTTTGCCTGCCTTCGTAGGTACCTACCGACATGGTAGGTAGGGTATAGATAGATATGATGTAATCAAGAACAAAAAAAACTGTCAACAGGCATCTATTACTAGGTACCTACCTAGGTACCTAGGTAGGAGGTAGGTATGCGCCGAGGCAGTAACGTTGTCTGCCTTACCTTAGGGTTACTTAACTAGTAGTACCTTAGTAGCACCTAAGTAGGTCCCTTGTAGGTCCCTTGTAAGTCCCTGTATTAGCACTCATGTCCGGGCGTGTTGGTGTGGCTTCAGCGCTCTGCACCCCTGTATTCACCCACTGTAAATTACAAGGCCTGCTCGCCTCACCAGCGCCGTCCCGAGCTGCTGGTAAGGTAATCTGGATTCGTTCATTCCTCTCGTCTTGATCCGTACTTGCCCGGGCATCCAAGCAAGCCAAGCAAATACTTAGATACTCGATCTTCTTCTACAAAATTCGTACCCCTCTTGCCGTCCATTTCCTTCCCTGCCTCGCCATCCAACCATTCCCTTCCCCCTTCCCCCTTCCGCCTTCGTCACCACCAACCATTCATATTCATCCTCCCTCCTTTGACCCACCAGAGCCGCTCCCTCTGCGCTACTTGTCGGCCTACCACGGCGCTTGCCGCCACCTCTTTTGTTTCTTCTTCACACCAGCCAATCCTCTCTCTTCACATCTAGCTAGTGCGACACCTCGTCTGTTTTTTCTTCGCCATTGAGGGGGGACACTCGACAGACTTCTTGACAGCCGGTAAAAAACGAACACCGTCGACCGATCGCCCCAAAAACTCGTCGCCTGTCCCACCCCTGGGCATAGCTTCGCCTTTGCGCAGGCCATCTTGGAAGGAAATTTCTCTTCCCTGCTTGCCGGCTTCTTCCCCATCGGCGCGAAACGCTTCCATACTCTCATACTGCCGCAAGGATGAAGGTGCGTTTGCCTACCTACACCAATCTCCCCAGCCCCGCGTCGCGCTTCCCCTCCGCGCCGTTCGCCGCGACTGCGGTTTTCGCCCAGGCTGTCGCTGGTCTTCGCGCTGTGTATTGCTCGTCCTGGACAGCCAACTGCCGGCCAACACGGCGCGGCGCTCGAGTGCTTCTGCTCATGCCAAGCTGCGCTCAAACATGACATCGGCGCGACTCTAGACCATGCCCGCCCGCCAACCTTGACCCTCCTCGTTACGTGCAAAACCGGCGTTTGCTAACCTACTTGATTCTCCCCTAATAGGCCCTTCGACGATCTATCAAAGGCGACAAGGACAAAGGCCAGAATGTCGCTGTTATGCCAAAGTCAGCCGTCGCCATTGTTCCTCCGAAAAAGGTTTGTCTGCCCAATCCGTCGCCAACGCCATTGGATCTTGGCGCCACCTAGCGAAAGCTAGTCTTCATTTGCGTGCTAACCAACATAATCTGCACCAGGTTATTCGAGCACTATACGACTACACAGCTCGCACCCCGCAGGAGTTGAGCTTCTCCGTTGGTGACTTCTTCCACGTCATCGGCCGCGAGGATGACCCTGACTGGTACGAGGCATGCAACCCAGCCCTGCCAGATGCGCGTGGCCTGGTACCTGTCGCCTTTTTCCAAGCTCTTGGACGAACCGAGCGAGACAGCGCCCAATCTGAAGGAAGCGCTGTTCGCCCCCCCACAGCCAACAAGACTCCGGATCACGACTCTGGATACAGTGACGCCTCTCCGACTTCTACCGCCAAGCCCGCCCAGCGCCTCTCCAAGTCTGGCGGCAAGGGCGGTGCCATGGTCTACGGCATTGTCATGTACGATTTTGTCGCCGAGCGAGCAGACGAACTCAACGCCAAGGCCGGCGAGGCCATCATCGTCATTGCCCAGTCTAACCCGGAGTGGTTCGTAGCCAAACCCATCGGCAGACTAGGCGGCCCAGGCTTAATCCCCGTTTCATTTATCGAAATCAGAGATATGGCCACTGACAGGGCCATTGTTAACCCCGGTGACGCGATCAAGCAGGCCGGCGTCCCCCGTGTTGAGGAATGGAAGAAGATGGCCGCCGAATACAAAAACAGTAGCATTACTCTCGGAAAGTTTGAGGCCGGCCAGCAACAAATGGAACAGGGTATGGACCGCCTTAGCCTGCAACAGCAGGCCGACGCTCAAGCCGGCCAACGTTCCCGCATCCAGTCGACCCAACAGGCAGCTCGCCACGTCAGCAACTCGACATCCGATCTCTACGCCCCGATCCAGGCTCGAATTCCCCGATACTGCTTCGCCGAGGACAAGTACTGGTTTGTGATTGAGGCCATGTTAGAGGACGGCCGACACTGGGAGCTGTCGCGATACTACGAAGACTTTTACGACTTCCAGATTGCCCTACTCACAGAATTTCCCACCGAAGCTGGCAACACAGGCTCACAAAAACGAACACTGCCGTACATGCCCGGACCTGTCAGCTACGTCACTGATGCCATTACGGAAGGTCGCTTGCATAACCTAGACGCATACGTGAAGAACCTGCTCGGCCAGCCCCCTTACATCTCTCGATGCACCTTGGTCAAACAATTCTTTGCTCCCCGAGAGGGTGACTACGAAATGGACGGCCCCTCCAACGACCAGGAATATAGGGACTCGCAAGATTCGCCCCAGTCGTCGTCGGGATCGCCCAGCAATGGGGACTCGAGACTCCAATCGAGGAATAACGTCAGTAGTAGCGGCTACGGTGGACTTCCGTCGGCGCCACGCCAAGCGAGCGGATCAGGGCCAGGTAAGTTACACTTCTGCGACCCAAACCTATCAGACATGGCACTAACCCAATCTAGCCGGTCAAGCACAACAACTTATCAAGGTCAAGATGTACTACGGTGACGATCTTATTGCCCTACGAGTACCCCGAGTCGATACGCGCATGGACAAGGACGCCCAGTTCAAGAAGCTCCAAGCCGTAATTGCGGCCCGCCTGGATGTGTCCGACCGAGACGAGCTTCAACTCTGCTCCCTCAACGAACAGACGAAACAGCCAAGCAATTTGATCAGCGCCTACGACCTTGACTCTGTTCTTGGCAAGTCGGACAAGCTTCTACTGCGCGCCGAGGTGCTGCGCGGCTAGCCTGCTATCGCCAAACCCGTTATGCGCTCCTTTGCTTCTCTCTTCTTTTCTTGGGTACAAATTCTTTACTCCTTTAGTATCTAGTCTGGAGATGCGTGCGCCTTGTTTCGAGTGTGCCATATCTTTGGCGCCGTTGTTTTGATCTGCGACACCCTCCGCGAGCCCTGAGTATGAGCTCCTTGATATCATGGTGACTGCCCATATATGCGAGCAGGAGAGCTTTCCAGACGATCTCACGATTTCTTCATTGATTATATGTTTCTTTGTCCTGTTCAGCCGAGCAATCGCTGGGGACCCTTCTTTTTCCGTTGCAGAGGCGAGGCGCATCTCGCCTTTGCAATGCTGAGCTTTTTTTTTCGCTTCCTTCTTTTTTTGCTTTGGCGTTTGAGGCTGGGTTTGATTCCTTCTTTTATGGTTTTTTTTTTCTACTTGACCACAGTTTATACCTGAGATGGAAACGGTAACTATGATGGAAAGTCGTCATGGAATATCTTGTGGCGTGGGAGGCGACGGCAATGAATTAAATGATCTAGGGCAAGGTGATGTCGTCACTTGTCACGCCATGTGATGGACATGGGAGGGGAATGTTGGAAGGGGATATGAGGGTAGGAGATGAGGAAACAGGACATGTGAGGATGGAATATCTCAAAGTATCTATCTTGCGCTGATTGAATCAATACATTCAATTCCATGGTTGAACTTGACGAGGATATGGAAAGCAGATCTGCAGAACGTGCTACCAGATGTCCCGGTTTTAAGCGAACAAAGCTAATAGCTATTAATGGTGGTACAAGAAATGTAAACTCAAAAACAAAATTCCCTCTACCCTGGTTTGCGGCGCGAGGCCTCTGTATCTATAATGCAGTAGTGTATGGTAAATGGTGATTATCGTAGGTGACCGTTATTATGAGACAATGGCAAGAAGAAAAACAATAAATGAAGAGAAAGGGACAAGATATAGAAGCAGCATCCCGCTCACTCTAATCTTGTCATGAAACCCTGCCGGACCTTGTAGTTGACGACGCCGCCGACGCCAAACGCCGGGACAATGCGGCCGATGCGCGCCGTACACGAAGGGAGCCACCCGCGGCTGACCGCGCGCCAGCGCTCGGCCCACGACACCTTTTGCGCAGCGGCCGACGGGCGATTATACCAGTCGAGGCCGAGCAGGTGCAGCGGGGTCGAAAGCAGCTGCACGGCGGCGGGGGCGAGAAACTGGGCGCTCGTGAGCCCCGACACGTGCAGGGTGCGCGCCGTGTACGCGTCGAGGTATGGCGCCATGCGGGCGGGCATGTTGAACGAGGCAAAGATGGTGAGGCAGTCGCGGAGGGCGAAGATGGCGAAGCAGGGGAGCGGCACGGGCCGCGGGGCGGCAGCGGCGCCGGGGGCGCGGAAGAGCTTGACAAAGGCCTGGTCCTTGTAGACGCAGAGGGAGACGTTGGCGAGGGAGGAGGCGACGAACTTGGAGGGGCCCGAGGTGGTGGTGCGCGCGGGGGCGGGCGCGAGCGTCGACGAGGCCGTGTCGAGCGCGTTGGCGGTCAGGTAGGTGCCGCCGTAGAGGAGGAAGACGAGCCCGACGGGCTTGGAGGCGAGCGTGCGGAGGGGGTGTCGCAGCAGCGCGGTGAAGGAGGTGCGGAGGGAGGCGAGGATGGAGGGGCTGGAGCCGGAGGCGTTTTCCATGATGGATCTAGAAGGACGTTTCTTGTTAGAGAGAGGAGTGTGAGGGGAGGGGGGCGTGGGGGGGGAGATGTACTTGTCAATAAAGGCAATGAGAGGGGATATTAGGCCCGCGGCGCACGAAGCGCTCACGGCGTCGGCGCCGAGACGCATGCCCAGGTTTTTGGTATTCCATTGGCGCGACTGCGGACTTGATTGTGTTCTCGTGGATGCAGATGTGGTGGAGGATGGTGGACATGTCGTCGGAGAAAGGAGCTGCGTTTGCGCGGCCGGCGCGGACGTGGAGGGAGCCATGACGCTATGTGTCTATCGTTTTGTGATGGGGTTGTGGTTTGTTCGGATGCAGCCGTTTATATCGTAAAGGGAGGATGGGCGTGGTTGATGTGACTTGAGGAGGTATCAGGATGGGAGGTCGGGTTGCGCAAGTTGCAGCTCATCGCTCGGGTTGCGGATGCTCCAGTATGTCGAGTGAGATTGAAGAATTGATGCGAACAAGGTATCGTCTTTGTTAAGGAAATCCGTCGAAAAGCGGCGTCGATTGGAGATGTAATAAGCTTGGGGGGGGGG